CTGGACAGTGCAGCTTTAAATGCTCTATTTTGCATCCCCATCTTACTGCCTTCAATCCTGGCACTGATGCTGGGAGGAAGGAGATGAGAGGGGCTGGGGAGTACTGAGCATCCCAAGCAAGAGCACTGCTTCTACAGTACAACATGATGAAACAGCCTCATCATCTAGCAGGTCAGTGCATAGTGCAATGACCCAGGCGCTTAAAGGAACTTGGGCTTGAGGCTTTCTACTTCCGCTGTAGAGTTCAGGACAAAGGACTGCAAGAAATTGGTCAAAAATAGAACTGCTACTCTCTGTAGGACTCAGAACTATCTGGGTCTCATGTACACAGTGTCTGCCCAACTCTAATTTTTCAGTTTACACAAACAGATAATGTCCCTTTATGAAACCTCTTCCACAGTAAGCACCTATTAGTTGGATCTGGGGACTGGACTAGACTTGAGTAACCACTGACTGGAAAATAGGACAGGTCACTTACTGTTGCCGCCTCTTCCAGGGCCTGTTTGTTTCCTCCAAGGGCTTTAAAAAGAATGTTGTAGTTACTATTAGATTTTAACAATAAATCATCTTGCCTAATGGTACCATTTATCTTTCTAAAACTGGTACAGCTCTTAGTCTAACATTCAAGGACCTTCACCATCTAATCTATTCTTTCTCCAAGTTTTATCCCAAATGTGCCACTGACTCTCAGGACTTGTTGCTATGGTACTCTGTATTTCCTCTGCCTGAAATTCTCCTCCGTACTCGATAAATTTCTAACTCATCCTTCAAAACTTAGCTCAAACATCACCCCCAAAATTCTGCTTATCTTTTTAAAAAATATATTTTAAATTTTATTTATTTTTGAGACAGAGTCTTGCTTTGTCACCCAAGCTGGAGTGGAGTGGCGCCACCTTGGCTGTCTCCTGGGCTCAGCTGATCCTCCACCCTCAGCCTCCCAAGTAGCTGGGACTACAGGCATGCGCCACCACATTTGGCTAATTTTTGTATTTTTTGTAGAGATAGGGTTTTGCCAAGTTGTCCAGGTTTGTTTTTTTGTTTTTTTTTGTTTTCCCAAATAGAGATGTGGTCTCCTGCTATGTTGCCCGGGCTGGTCTTGAACTCCTGGGCTCAAGTGATACTCCTGCCTTGGCCTCCCAAAGTGCTAGGATTACAGGCATGAACCCCTACCCCATGCCCTGCCCTCTGCTTATTTTTCTTTAAAAAAAAAAATGTATTTTTATTTTAATTATCTTTTTAAAGTTTAAAGATAGGGTCTTGCTATGTTGCCCAGGCTGGTCTCAAATTCCTGGGTTCAAGCAATCCACCTGCCTTGGCCTCCCAAAGTGCTGGGATTACAGGTGTGAGCCACTGTACCTAGCCTGCTTATTTTTCTATCTCAGCAGGTTGCTGCAAAGTGTGGAGTAAGTTGCTCACCCTCATCGTACCTAGTAACTACTCAGAGCTTTTCAAACAGTCCATCCTTGCCTTGGACTGAATTCCAGAGATGATATCCTTTGCTTCTGGCAAAAATTTAGCAGTCAATGGAAGTACAGTAAACGTGTGTTGAATGAAAAGGTCTTTGTGAGATTTACATGTAGAATAAAAAGTTAGGTTAGATCCTCCTGCTAGAAACCCTCGTAGTATCTTGTAAAACAGTTAAGATCTCAGGCTATGAAACCAGAATACCTGGGTTCAAACAGACTATTCCACTAACTAGCTTATGAGGCCTTGAGCGAAGTATCCAATTTCTCTGTGCCTTAATCTTTTCATTTAGAAAAATAGGGATATTATTAGTTATGAAGAAAAATTAGTTAATATATGTAAAACACTTGGTACAATGCTCATCCAGCATAGAAATCACAATATGCTCACTGACCACTACTCTATTCTATCTCCTTTGTAGTACCTATACTTTTAATTACATAATTGTATGTGGATTTTTCTAATAGCTCTTTTCTACTAACCTGTATGTTTCTGAAGGCAGAGGCAATGTCTGTTTTATTCCCCGGTGCATCTTTAGCACCTAGCACTGTGACTCACATATGCTCAGTATTTGTAGAAATGAGCAAATGAATGGCTTAATATTAATAAATAAAAGGACAAGTCAAAAGAATCATTCAGCGTCTAATATGTGAACAGAACATGCACTTCTATCCAGCAAGGAGACTTCATGCTGGATAATTAATAATAAGGAAAACAAAAATAGGCAACCCAGCAGAAAAGTACAGCCTCCTGCATTTCTCTAGACATTTAATAAGGGAGTGGGGAAGCAGGCTGGGATTTTTCTCTGGCCAGGAAAACTGATGTGCCTTTTTTTTTTGAGATGGAGTTTCATTCTTGTTGCCCAGGCTGGAGTGCAATGGCGGGCTCTTGGCTCACCGCAACCTCCACCTCCCAGGTTCAAGCGATTCTCCTGCCTCAGCCTCCTGAATAGCTGGGATTAGAAGCATGCGCCACCACACCCGGCTAACTTTTTTTATTTTTAGTAGAGACAGGGTTTCTTTCTTTTTTTTTTTTTTTGTGAGACGGAGTCTCTGTCGCCCAGGATGGAGTGCAGTGGCCGGATCTCAGCTCACTGCAAGCTCCGCCTCCTGGGTTTATGCCATTCTCCTGCCTCAGCCTCCCGAGTAGCTGGGACTACAGGCACCCGCCACCACGCCCGGCTAGTTTTTTGTATTTTTTTTAGTAGAGACGGGGTTTCACTGTATTAGCCAGGATGGTCTCGATCTTCTGACCTCCTGATCCGCCCGTCTCGGCCTCCCAAAGTGCTGGGATTACAGGCTTGAGCCACCACGCCCAGCCGAGACAGGGTTTCTCCATGTTGATCAGGCTGGTCTCAAAACTCCTGACCTCAGGTGATCTGCCCACCTCAGCCTCCCAAAGTGCTGGGATTACAGGCATGAACCACTGCGCCCAGCCTGATGTGCCCATTTTTAAGTTAGCAATTTCCATAAGCTGCATAAGGAGCTGCTTTGGGTTATTCTTTCATCTGAGCTCTGGTTAACTAACCATGTCATTTATTCATTCATTTTTAAATGGGTTGGGTAAAATATACATATTTTTAAAAAATACTATTTTCTGGCTGGGCACAGTGGCTGACTCCTGTAATCCCAGCACTTTGGGAGGCTGAGGCATGCAGATCACTTGAGGTCAGTAGTGCGAGACCAGCCTGGCCAACATGGTGAAGCCTCGTCTCTACTGAAAATACAAAAATCAGCAGGGCATAGTGGCAGGAGACCGTAATCCCAGCTACTCCGGAGGCTGAGGCAGGAGAATCACTTGAATCCAGAAGGTGGAGGTTGCAGTGAGCCAAGATCGCACCACTGCACTGCACTCCAGCCTGGGTGACAGAGTGAGACTCTGTTCCAAAAAAATAAAATAAAATTCCTGATGTGTGAAAATTATGTGGAATTCACATTTCAGTGTATCCATAACTAAAATTTTATTGGAATACAGCCCATCCATGCCCATTCACTATAGCTGTTTCGGACCTGTAATAGCAGAGCTAAGTTGTCCGACAGAGACCCCTCCCACCGGCTCAAGTAGCCTAAAATATTTGCTACCTAGGCCTTTAGAGAAAAGGATGGAGACACATGACTTAGGGAAGTGAGACAGAGAGTGAAAGGGTCTGCAATTTTCCATAAGTGGTCATATCAGATCTCATTAAAAGGTGACATCTGAGCGAGTCCTTTCTGAAGGGTGTTACCTAACCCCACGGGGCTCCCGGCCTCCGCCCAGGGAAGCTCTCCAGCTCTTACCGAAGTAGTCAAGCCAGTTCATCTGGCGCAGCGCCTTGGGGAGCCGCAGGATCTGGATGTTGTAGAGTTTATCCACCTCCTTGAAGAGGTTCTGCCTGTCTGACTCAATTTGCTTGATTCGTATTTCCACTGCGGGAGGGCAGAGCCGACAGGACACGGGTCACGGGGCGGGTGAATGTGTGCAGCTCGTGTCCCCACCCGCCAGCATCCCCCAACCGCCCCAGGAGGCCGCGACGGCCTGGCCCCTTACCTTCACGGTCGAAGTCTTTCAGAAAGGAGGCGAGCTTCCGCCTCCGTAAGGAGTTGATCTTGGCCACCCGACTACTGCCCTTCCTAGGAGCCATGGCGCTCGGCGGATGCTGCGGGGAGCGGCGGAGATGGGGCAGGGAGGCAAGGAACCAGGTAGGGACCAGGAGGGCGGATGGGGACCACCCGAATAAGTCGCCAGGCACGTACCTCCGGTCTCGCGACAAGGACTCAGTAAAACCTCGCTATGCCAGTGAGAGAGAGCGGCTCTACCGTCAACCGCCACCCAATTCAAACTCCACAGCCACAGGCTGACGAATGAGAAACCGCCGTCCCACAGTATCCAATCACAAGCAAGTTCCTACCTGCCCGGGGTCTCCCGCCCAATGCGCTCCCTATAGCCGGAGTGCGTCAGCGCGGGCGCCGCCGTCGCGGGAGCTCCTGGGAGTTGTGGTCCAGGCTTGTTTCCCCGCCCTCCCCACCAACTCACCCGGCTCCGCCCTGGCCGGCTGCAAACTTTACAAACTACGACTCCCGGCAGGCCTTGCGGCGGGTCTTCATTACCCCAAGCTCTGGAGGGCTAGGGGCGGACTAGGTCAGGTGGGCTGTAGGATTCTGCTCCGGGGCCGGCGGCTGCTTCTTCCAGGCCTAGCTGCCACTGAGTAGCTGAGGGGCCGCCGTGACACTCTGACTGATTGACTGGCTGGCTGCCTACGTCGGCTCTCCTCAGGGCCCCAAGCTCCCCAGGCCGAACTTGGGGCAAGTGGAGGGTCGGCGGAGACAGAGCAGCCCCGACAGGGTTTGGAAGGGGCCGAGGCGGAATGACAGGGGAGCGGGACCGGGGTGCAGGCTTTGGGGTGAGCGCGCCAGCCCGTGGCCAGTTTGGGCAGCGAGTGGGGAGAACCCTCTTGTTCCTCGCTCGCCCGCGGGCCGGCCACTCCCGTCCAGTTCGCGTCTTGGCGCCTCGACTGGGTGTGCAGCGCGGGGCCGCGACTTCAGGTGCGAGTAGTGGCGCTTGGCAGCTGGCCACGCGGTGACTGCAGCGTGAGCCGCGGCCACCACACTCCAGGGAGCCCAGGACAGGAGGCAGCTCTGGGTGTTCTGGCCGTGGGCCTGGGAATGGGCGTGTAGACCTCGAACCCCGCTGAGCCGCAGTCCTGTCGGAAGTGCTAACTGTGCATCTTTGCATCTGCCCACGGCCACAGGGTTGGATTGCTCAAGGGTTGTGCTGAGACCCAGCAAGGCTAGAGGCTAGTTTCGAAGCTGTAGCTCAGGCTGAGTCTCAAGGCGGGCGACGACTGGACGGCCAGACCGGCGAGCTCTTGACAGGTTTGTGGCCTGATTGTTTGGATTTGGTGCTTTTCACCTGTGGATGCGGTCTGAAGCCATGTCAGAGGGGTTGTTTGTGTTTAACCGTGCATGTTATAGGCTATGGGAGTGATAATCTTGCCTCTCCCCCTCTGAGTTCAGGAACAATCAAAGAAATAAGCAAAGGTGCCAAGCAGGCTCCTGATGGGCACCAGCGAGCTTGGGGACAGAGCAGTCCAAGCATAGAAACCCTGGCAAGCCTGGCCCTTCCTAGAAAGTCCTTTCTCTCTCTCTTCCACCCTGGTTTGTTGCTCCATATACAAAAAATATTTGAATGTCGCTCTTCCGCCCAAGGTCAGCCCTGGGCAGTGGGTGGTGGGGGTGACACCCGAGTCTGCTGGGTGCCTAAGGATCTCCATCAGTTAGATGGCCAAGATGAGAGGGGACGACAACCCGTACCTCATGTAGGCTTTCCCGCAGCAGGTGTTTTTATGCTGGGCAAATTGGGCTTCCAGCCTCTCGGTTTCAGGGTTTCCTTCACCCGACTCCCCAATGTGCCCGACCTCCCTGGGCACCTAAGATGTCCACCTGCATCTCAGCCAGAGCTGCCACGTCAGGAGCCCGTGATTCACTAGTTTTTGCCAGTTGGTTGTGATACACAATGTCAAAAGTGTCATTAAGGCACAGCCGGAGGCGCAAGCTGAGAGGAAAAGACTCCACAGTTAAGAGGACATGCCACCACTGCCACCCAATTTAAACTGCTGCAGGCTGACAAATGAGAAGTCGCCGTGTTTGGACGGTCCCAACATCCAGTCCCAAGGAAGCTTCAAGCCGAGTGGCCAATCCACATGTTGGACTACAGTACCCAGAAGTAATTTCGGTACTATGATATATTTTCGCGACTCAATAGCCTTGCAGGCCTGCGGAGGAGCTTTGGCGGCGGTCGCCTGTGAGCATGCGCAGAGAGACTATGGGCGCGTGGTGCTCACGCTTTGGGTGTCTTGACTTTTAAGTTTTTCCGCTGGTTTCAGGAACGCGACCGGCAGCCTCGGGCAGGGGAGACAGGACTGTAGGTCAGAGAAGAGACGGCGATTGGCCACCGGGAATCCTCTGAAGCAGGAGACTGCCCTATCCAGGTTACCCTTCCCAAGGGGAAGCCAGGGTCTCCTTCAGAAAGCTGAGGCAGTGCCGGGGCTGGTGGCTCACGCCTGTAATCTCAGCACTTTGGGAGACCGAGACGGGCGGAAAACCTGAGGTCAGGAGTTCAAGACCAGCCTGGCCAACATGGCGAAACCCTGTCTCTACTAAAAATACAAAAATTAGCCGGGCGTGGTGGCGGGCACCTGTATTCCCAGCTACTCGGGAGGCTGAGACAGGAGAATTGCTTGAACCCGGGATGCAGAGGTTGCAGTGAGCCGAGATAGCGCTACTGCACTCCAGCCTGGGCGACAGAGTGAGATTCCGTGTCGAAAAAAAACAAAAACAAAAAAAACCACTTCTGGAGGTGAGACAACTCCTTTGTGAACACGAGGACGGACATGACGCCCACCCTCGACCCAGTGCCTCCCGGACTGACTTGCCACCCCAACGTGGTTATTTTCTATTTTTATCTTTTTCAGCAGAAGATGACTCAAGACCGGCCTCTGCTTGCCGTGCAGGAGGCCCTGAAGAAGTGCTTCCTGGTGGTGGAGGAGCAGCAGGGCCTGTGGCAGAGTGCCCTGCAGGACTGCCAGCCCCTCCTGTCTTCCCTCAGCAACCTGGCGGAGCAGCTGCAGGCCTCACAGAACCTGCGGTTCGAGGATGTGCCGGCGCTTCGGGCCTTCCCAGACTTAAAAGAGCGGCTGAGGCGCAAGCAGCTGGCAGCTGGTGACATCGTCCTGGACAAGCTAGGGGAAAGGCTGTAAGCAGCTCCGTAGTGCTCTTTCCTGGTGGAAGGATTTTAAAACGAGGTGTTTTATATGTAGCTAGTATCAGTCCAGAAGGTGTTTTTCTCCTTGAAAGCGTGGCATTTGGAGGTATCTCAACCTTCCTCACTTATCATCTGGGGCAGTGAGACCTCTCTCAGAAAGCCATTTTCTGGCATTTTCCTTGTCAGAGACTAGGCATGGCAGTGATGGGCTTAGTGGAAGTCACAAAAGAAGAACAGAAAAGGAGCGGAGAAAACCTATTAACTCTGCCCTATAGTTTTCTTTGGTAAAAGGCAATGAGGAGCTGTGTAAACTTAGTAGGTGCTAGAGCTAAGGGCTTTATATATATTACGTTATAAAGGCTCTTCAGATACTGGGCGCTTGACAACAAGCATATCAGAACTTGGAGACGTGCTACTACTGGCACAAAGACACCAACCTACAGCAGAACAAAGTGGTGATTAAGAACTCTAGCTTTTGGGTCAGGCACACTTGAGTTAGAATCCCAGCCTCTACCCTTTTCTGGTTGTGTCACCAGGGCAATTCTGCTTGAGGCCTCAGTTTTCTACCTGCATGGAATTAAGTGCAGTAAAGTCACAGATTATGTTGAAG